TTTTTCGAAGTCCAATAGTTGCTTTCCTTTCCTGATAACTTGAGAAAGAACAACTCAGGACTGCCATTCAGTTTCATCGAGCAGAAATGAAATGCAACGAAGAAACACGGGGTGGCTGTATCATTTGGAGACGTTGGAAAAGCGACCCTTTCTGGAAAAATTAGGATAAAATTTTTTTCGCATTTTCAACCTGGAATTTTGTGTTGATTTTCGAATTCGCGACCAAATTTGACACAGTTTTCCTGTTGGACATTTTTCCAGAAACTTTGTGGAATTCGAGATTTTGAACAATTTCTAGGTGGCTGTATAATTAGGAGACGCAGTGTATAAAAAATTGCCTTTACTCAAGCGATCTCATTCACCGAAGAAGATGACAAGGGAGATTTTCAATAAAGAAAAAAATGCAGTGACTTCGAAACCATACCTAATAGCGGAGATGTTGTAGTGGCTGCGCTTCAATTGGGAGTTTCTGGAAGGGATCTCGGGCACCAGACCTTTTTGGCTCCTGCAAAGCTCATATGCTATGAGTTGAAATTCGCAACTCTTCACTCTTACTCATTTCTGTGTACCAGGTCGTGATAAGAGAGAAAAGGAAAGGAGTTGGCAAGATAGCAGAAAGAAAAAGAGGCAAAGAAGAACATCCCAAATAACAAAGTCTTGAAGACCTCATAAAGAAGGTTTTTCAACTCCCAGGTTCCTCGAGCAAGTTGTCGGCCGGAGTTGCTGGCAGCTACTTCTACTATGTAAGAGTAAGAGGAGCTTGCTGATCTGATTCTCATTCGTGAGCCTCACCACTATAGCAATACTTTTATGCAACTATTGGCAAGCAGCGTCTATTTGAAGTAATTCTTATTTCAGGACAGCAAATCCTCTGAAGAGGTGGCTAAAGCTAAAGAAGAGAAAGCGAAGAAGGTAATCGAAGAGCGAAAGGTGCTACTTAAAGCGACGATTGAAGGTGAGAGATTTGGTGGGAATATCGCGTTTTCTTACTTGAACTAGTTGCCTGCATCAGGATATGGAGATTCGAGAAGGAGTACGTCCTATAACAGGTTATGCAAAGTCTCCACGGCCGTCCACGGTAATGAAAGTGAAGGACAATTAGGTGATCTCTTGTGAGTGTTCTGTAATTTGATACGGGAATAGTAAACAGATGTAATGATATGACCATTTTACATTTGCTTAGCCTTTCTTCGCGATTAAATCTATTCTTATCACGAATACTCGTTCAGCACTCGTCATCTATGTTGATCACACATCTTAGCCATGAGCTGACCTCTGAATTAAATTCGCAACCGCTGTTATTTTCAAATGTTTGTCAACGAGGTACAAGCGCAGCTGCTCATATAACATAAAAATCCGAGCTTCTGGGGCCAACGAATATATGTGACAGCTCTTCCCTGTACTCGATTTCTTGAGCATTTCTCGTTGAAGTCGTTGTCGTAATACTTGAAAAGTTGATAATTGGTGATGAAGTAGACAGGAGAATATTGTGAAAAGACAGGGCTTCGTATCCCAATTTGTTGAGCTTGTGTCCACGGGATATGCAATGTGTGGCCGCATGTTGTCGTGAAGAAGTATTGCTCCTTTTATTCTGACTTGTGCCGTGCGTACTATTTAAAGTTTTTGGTGCATCTAGTCTACTTATTAAATGCACTCCTCTGCCATATCGTTCACTGAAGACAAGGTGCGGTGAATCAAGCCCTCGGCACAATCCTTACAATCAGCACGACCATATTAGGAGCATTTTCGATTTCTAGAAATGAAAAGTAGCTTGATTGCTGTCCAACCTTTCGACCGATCTTCTTCTTCTATTTCTTATTTAGCATGCGAGCATAAAATTCAACGAAAACTCGCAGAGACAGCCGTTGGGCGCACTGTAGGCAGTGGAGCAGGGCTTCTACAAAGTGCGTCTTGCAATTCTTCAGTGCCTTCCCAACCGGCTCTTAGCTTCTTCTACAAATGAATTAAGAAATGTGTATTTTTTGCAATGGCAATTAAATTGCCAATTTATAATTCAAAAATACTCATTCGAGCGGAGATGGTGTGGTGACAGGAGGGGCCACTGCCGCGTATGGTCTCTGGATCGAATCCCAGCTCAAACCCAGCGCGCGTCAGCCAAATTTCTACAGATGATTAGTTGTTGCTAGGAGCGACTGTTACTACACAAAACACATCGATAACTTGTTTTTGAAAAAGTCGTAGTCTAAGGGTTGAAGGATTAGAACCTTTACTGAGGTTTAAGGTGCACCATGAGATGTACAACGAATGGTAAGCCGTGCACTTCGGCAAGGTTATTCACAAGAGGTCATAGGAAGTGAAGGTATGCCAACCTTGGGAAAAGGACTACAGACACCCACACAATT